AAGAAATAGACAGCAAAACTATACTAGTGGGGAACCTAAACCTCCCCCTCTCTGAACTAGACAAATCTAATCACAAAATAAGTAAGAAGGAAGTTAAGGGGGTGAATATAATTTTAGAAAAGTTAGATATGGCAGACCTCTGGAGAAAATTGAATGGGGATAGAAAGGAATATACTTTTTTCTCAGCGGTACATGGCACATACACAAAAATTGACTATGTACTAGGGCATAAAAACCTCACAATGCATTGCAGAAAGGCAGAAATATTAAATGCATCCTTTTCAGATCATGATGCAATAAAAATTATATGTAATAAAGGACCATGGAAAGATAGACTAAAAATTAATTGGAAACTAAATAATCTAATCCTAAAGAATGAATGGGTCAAACAACAAATCATGGAAACAATCAATAACTTCATTCAAGACAATGACAATAATGAGACAACATACCAAAATTTATGGGATGCAGCAAAAGCAGTTTTTAGGGGAAGTTTTTTATCTCTCAATGCTTACATGAATAAAATAGAGAAAGAGGAGATCAATGAATTGGGCATGCAACTAAAAAAACTAGAAAAAGAACAAATTAAAAATCCTCAATTAAATACCAAATTAGAAATACTGAAAACCAAATGAGAGATTAATAAAATTGAAAATAAGAAAACTATTGAACTAATAAATAAAACTAAGAGCTGGTTTTATGAAAAAACCAATAAAATAGATAAACCTTTGGTTAATTTAATTAAAAAAAAAGAAAGAAGAAAGCCAAATTATCAGTATCAAACATGAAAAGAGTGAATCTACCACCAATGAAGAGGAAATTAAAACAATAATTAGAGACTATTTTGCCCAACTCTATGCCAAGAAATTTGACACTCTTAGTGAAATGGATGAATATTTACAAAAATATAAATTGCCCAGTTTAACAGAAGAGGGAGTAAAATACTTAAATAACCCCATTGTAGAAAAAGAAATTGAACAAGCCATCAATGAACCCCCTAGGAAAAAATCTCCAGGGCCAGGTGGATTTACAAGCGAATTCTATCAAACATTTAAAGAACAATTAATTACAATACTATATAGACTATTTGGGAAAATAGACAAAGAAAGAGTCTTACCAAATTCTTTTTATGATACCAATATGGTGCTGATACCTAAACTGGGAAGAGTCAAAACAGAGAAAGAAATTATAGACCAATTTCCCTAATGAATATAGATGCAAAAATTTTAAATAAAATATTAGCAAATGGATTACAGCAACTTATCACAAGAATAATACACTATGGTAGGATTTATACCAAAAATGCAGGACTGGTTCAATATTAGGAAAACTCTCAGCATAATCATATCAACAACAAAACTAACAAAAACCACATGATCATCTCAATAGATGCAGAAAAAGCTTTTGACAAAATACAATACGCATTCCTATTAAAAACACTAAGAGCATAGGAATAAATGGAGTCTTCCTTAAAATGATAAGTAGCATCTACCTAAAACCTTCAGCAAGCATCATATGTAATGGGGATAAACTAGAAGCATTTCCAATAAGATCACAGGTGAAACAAAGATGTCCATTATCACCACTGTTGTTCAATATGGTACTACAAACATTAGTTTTAGCAAAAAGAGAAGAAAAAGAAACTGAAGGTATTAGAATAGGCAAAGAAGAAACAAAGCTATCACTCTTTGCAGATGATATGATGGTATGCTTAGCGAATCAAGTAAAAAACTACTTGAAATAATAAACAACTTTAGTAAAGTTGCAGGCTATAAAATAAACTCACATAAATCATTAGCATTTCTAGATATTACCAACAAAACCCAACAGCAAGAGATAGAAAGAGAAATTCCATTTAAAGTTACTGTAGACATTATAAAATAGGAGTTTACCTAAAGAAACAAACCCAGGAACTATATGAACATAATTACAAAATATTTTTCACACAAATAAAAGTCAGATCTAAATAATTGGAAATATCAGTTGCTCATGGGTAGGTCAAGCTAATATAGTAATCTACTGTTTGATAAACCCAAAGACTCCAGCTTCTGGGATAAGAATTCACTATTTAACAAAAACTACTGGGAAAACTGGAAAAGAGTATGACAGAAACTAGGCATAGACCAACACCTTACACTATATACCAAGATAAAGTCAAAATAGGTACACGATTTAGATATAAAGGCAGATACTATAAACAAATTAGGAGAGCAAGGAGTGGTTTACCTGTCAGATCTATGGAGAAGGGAAAATTTTATGACCAAACAAGAGATAGTGAACATTATGAAATGCAAGATGGATAATTTTGATTACATTAAATTGAAAAGTTTTTGCACAAAGCCAATGCAACCAAGATTATAAAGGAAGCAGAAAGCAGGAAAACAATTTTTACATAAAGGCCGCATTTCTAAAATATATAAAGAACT